TATCTTGCTCCAATGACGAGACACAATGTATTCTCATGGCGGAATGATCTTTGAAAAGATAACACATTCACTGTCTTTAATGTCTGAGCCTTCATTGTGATTTGTCAAGTGAGCGAAACAAATATCCATTCTGAATGTACATTGAACTAATAAATACTTTGAATTGAATTGAAATTAATTGAAATAAACAAATTTTGAAGATATTTTGTTAGAATACAATAGAATCATAGTCATGAAAGCAAGATAATGACGAATGTAGATTATCTTTAAAAAAGACGATGTATTTCATTGATTAAGAAGAAGTGAAGTATACCCAGCATATAAAAAAACAGATTAACTTGAGGCTTTAAAATTAAGCTCGCCAAATCAGCATGACAAGCGAGAGAATGGCAATGAAATCCTTCAAATTGAACTTGCCATATGGAAAGGTTAGGTTTTCTATTATTGAAATTAACCGCAAACATTTTGAGAGGGTTTCCATCAGACAGGCATAGTACAATGATGAGAGTTCATCGGAAGTGCTAGCAATAATGGACTTGGGAGGTAATACTGTAAGCAAAACAAATAGGATATATGTCTGGAGGCTATACTAAGGCTTCTCTGAACTTGGTCAATGGTATGGTTCAATTGGGTGAAGGCCTACAGTATCAGGCAACCATGCAGTTTGTGAGTAGATGGCAAATAAATAATCATTTTTGAAAGATAGTGCACTATTTCTTACCTGCCTAGATATATCTTACCTAGATATGATATATATATCTTACCTAGATATGATATACGGTATATATATCTTACCTAGATATGATATATATCTTACCTAGATATCTTACCTAGATATAATAATACTAATAATAAATCTGGATTTATAAGTGTGTAATACAAAATACTGTCTTTAGGTATTTTAAAGATATTATTATTACCCAGGTCATAGGATTCATTCACAGACACTGTCTACACCATCTCCACTCCCTGGGGAGTGTGTCAAGCATCTGGTCACTAGTCAGTCACTGTAGCATAATGTGCAGTAGATATACTATATTGCCTTTAATTATTTACTTCAATTTTTCAAGTTAAACAAATCATATAACTGAAGATTTGGTGGTCAAAACAAAAAGCAGAGATAGACTCCAGATTGGCTATTAAAGGATACCAAGGGTTATTATTGATATTGACAATGTCTTCACATTTGATCAATTCTAACAGCTGAATTCAGGTACTTGTACACTTGTCTATAGCACTTAGCAGCACTCCTTTTTAGAAACCAATATCATTACCTTGTTAAATTAAGGTCAGAGATATATTTGGAGATTTCATCAGAAAGAAATGAGATGATTGTTAAAATGCCATGTCATACACTGCTGGAGTTGATGTGAAAGCTAGTGGGTAGTGGCACATCAGACAATAGCGTCACAGCTTTGTGTCGTAGGGCTAGGCCTATGTTATTGTGGCTTTAAGAGAAGATGGATAGTCTGTGACTCTCAAATTGGCAACTTTTATAATGCAGAGAGCCAGAGAGGCCAAAGGTCAAGCAATGAGTGAGGTTCGGATCGTAAAGATGTGACAGGAAAGAGGTTATACGTGGGAGTGGAGAATAAAGGAACATGAATAATAGGGGAATATAAGGAAAACATAAGGAACTTTGAACGATAGAGGAACATAAAACAGAAAGTGCTTATAATGAAAGGTTTTGTAAAATTTGTTTGTTATTGCAGGATGAAAATGATAGATGTTGGTTATTCCGGCAACATGAAGCAACTGAGCCAACAAACAAACTGACACTATTATGAACCATTAAAAAAAAGGAAAAGAAAAAAAAAGGCGACTATATGGTCTTGAGTATTCCTGCAGCAATCATTTTTATAAAACTTTTTTGTTGTTGTAGCGTAACAAGCTGTGTAAGTTATTTTAATGTGGTCCTTGTCTGTGTCTGATCATGACATGGAAACTAAGATTCTATGTTACATTGTTTAATGTTATTTACGTCCAGAAAACACAATGCATCTACATACAGTATGTACATGTATGGGAAACAGATGTGAGACCATTGATTGTTACCCAAAATACATCATCACCACACAAAAATCTGTCATTCTCCATATGAAACCCGTGGACAAAGAGGCAGAGAAGAAAAATCTTGAGAAAAGAGAGAATGGAAAAGTGGGAGAGAATGAAAAAGTGGGAGAATTAACAAGAGGGAAATTGCTATCCCGCTGTGCTATATTGGAAATCACTGAGCATGCATTATGTGTAATGCTTATTGGAAAAATCGTGGAACCCATGTTTGTGTGAGGCATTCATGTTTAGTCATTAAAGCAGAAATTCCATTTTTGATATTGATGTACGGAGAATAAGTAAGTTAAAGAAAGACTGAAATTACGAAGAAAGACGTGGGGAAAGTGAAGATTTTTTTTGTCGAAATTTGTAAGCGAAATGTACATTATTTTTTCCCTCTCTTTAAGATTTCATTTCCCTGAGGAGCTGTAACAATATGGGTTTAGAAAATGAATCAGTAGAGATACTCAGCATTGCAATAGAAAGAAAGAAACATTTTTTTCATCCACCAACACCAATAAAACTTTTCATTTATAAAAACATTTTGGGAGTCACTATAGGAAATGTAGATTTTATTGTGACAATTTTACCATTTTCTTTTCAAGAGCTATTTTAGAGCGTACCTGTGCTAAATTTTCTTCTTTCCTTTTTTCGCTGCTTCCCACAAGTGTTTTTTTTATGTAGTTATCTAGGTGATATTGCGAAGGCCTTTAGTGAGCATCAGTGTTAGGTGTATCTCCAAAATCCTTGCCTGAGTGACAAGATTTTTTTACATGAATCTTCATGCTTTGTGTTGAGTTATAAATCATTTTTATGAAGGCCAAGTGGGATGAACACTATGGATTAGAAACAATATGTCCATGGTAATATACATGAATGGCATCATAACAAGCATGTTATTGCACAACAGAACAATATTATTTCCATGGTAATATGAACAGAGGTGAGGCAGAGTTTGTGCAGGGAGTTGTGAATTGGTTTGTGCATGGATTTACCTGGTTTGTGTTGGGATCATAAATCATTTCTCCCAGGGCTATGTATGGTGGGAAGAGTGGGATCCCAGATGTCATCCTCAAATACAGGAGGAGATTACTTTCAATGACCTCATAAAGGTCATTTAAGGTCAACATCAGGTCAGTCCTGGGGAGTTCCCTGGAGTCTAGTCTTGGTAGTCTCTGCGTGCAGACACTGAATTTGTTTTGATGGGATGTTTACCTACCGGTAGATGATAGAGGTGCACGGTATCGCTTGTCCTAATTTCATGGTATGTTGTTTGTGGACGTAGAGCCAGTTGACTTCATTGTACAAGATATAGGCAAAAGTCTATCATCAGGGCTCCATTCCAACCTCTTTTTATTTCTTTATTATTATTTTGAAGTTCAATTTTGGGGGTCTTTGTTCACCAGGCCCCAACAGTCAGAAAGATTTAAGTTCTTTTTGGATGATCCTCTCCCTGTTTAATAATGTTAACTGTCACACTTGAAGGTGAATGATTTTTCTTTTCTTTTAATTGGAGCTGCTTTCTTCTCTTAGTGGACGTTGTAACTTCCAATCAGTTTGTAAATGTATTGTATTCAATGAATAATGTCAGCTTATAGCCTATAGAAGGATAGACAGTATCTGGCATGATTGTTCTTCGGACATTTCCTTACCTATAAAGCGATTCCAGTATACTTTAAAGGTTGATAATTGTGTATTTTGTAAAATGAGAAGCAGGAAATAAACCATGACTTACCTGTTAGTGTCTACAGTGTTCAAACCAGAATGCCCCTTCAGTTCTACAAATGCATGAGTTTACATATCATGCACCGTCAAATGATGATGATGATCCATAGCACTTGTATGGTACCATTTATATCTGTTTCAAACAAACATTCAAAGGCGCCCGCTCCGCCAATAGTCACGGCCTACACATTTGCTTGAAAAGATGGGTTTCAGTTGAGGCCTGACTTGAAGCTTTCCAGCTTGTCGATGTCGCGAAGAATAGGAGGGAGGGAAAATCAATAAAACCCAAATTAAATTTGTTGAGAAACCTTACAGTTACAAGCCTCAAGGTGTGGAGAAGATATTTTTATCCTGTAATGGACATTGGGAAAAGGGATTTTTTTTTCTTTTTCAAGGCAAGACTAATAATGTAACGATTTTAGAGATTTTTGTAAATGTTGTGCCGGTGGTCTTTTCCTCCTTCCTTTGATTTGGTTGAATAGGGTCTGTATCCAAGACTCATTTATTAGGTCCAGACCTTGACATAAACAGTAGACAGTCTGTGTTGTGGGTTGGTTACAGGCCCTGGGGGCAAGACAAACTGCCCTTCTGTTTGGAAACTGTTATTAGTGATCCAATGACTGACAGCAGATTGAATGCATGGGGATGTGTAGTAAGGGAGTCATGCAAGCATCAATTTCAGTGTTGGTTTTAGCATGACAAGGTTATTGTAACCTCAAATTTGACTTCATTCAAGATATTTTATGTCAGGAATATGGCTTTCCATGTTTAAGTTGGAATGCCTGTAACACATCGAAAGTAATAAGAATGAAGGATACTAGCTGTAGTAACATTGTTATTACCGGTATACAAAATCCTATCAGAAAATCACTGCAGTACTGGTACAGGTATAATTAAAACAAAAATACAAAGATGTAATACACAAGAAGTTGTACTTGAGTATTTTTGACAAGAAGATAGAATAATACAAATGGAAATGTAGGTCAAAATCTAAACATTATTCCACTTCCATGAAGAAGATGTCTATCTGATTTCTTATCTAGTTCAAAAAGTCATTGATCAGCGAGAAATGTTTCTATGAACTATGAAGCTTGCTGAAAAAACTGAAAGGATAACAATAATTGTGAGAACCATATTGTAAGCTTCACTTTCCTGACTTTCCCTGAGTTCAGTTCACATGGTGTTGACTCCAAAGCCAAAGGAAAGGAAATTCCACACTAATCATGTTTGACAGTATGGCCCATAGTAAGGCTGAGACGAGGATGGGTAGATTAAAAGTCATGTGAAATGGGGATTCAGGCTTAGAATAATCACAAGAATGGAATCCAAAGTGCTTCCTCCACTTAAAAGCCATCCCAAAGTGACTCATTTTTGCAATATGTTTACACGTAATATTGCAGCTATGATGATAATAAAGAAATATCATACTTTACAGAGATGAGCTGCAATGCCATTTTCCAATTAAAATCTACTCCATTCACATCCCTCTTTTTCTACCAGACCAGTCAAAGCTTTTAGCACAAGACAGAAGTGCAGTTTTGTTATTGATTCCTACAACTGATGAACAAATATAGAATTGCAATACTTGTCATTTTCCTAGACATCCATTTAATGCATTACATTGTAGCTGTGCTTACTGTAATCAAGACTGAATTATTGAATGCTTGAGTACTGCCCTTTTCTATTTGCAAAGCAGAGAAGTCGCATTGTGTTTCTCCACTTCTTTCTCATGAGTTTCAAACATCTCTGACGTTTAGAGCTTTTGACAGTGAAACCTTACTCATGCTTCAGTTATTCCTAGCGAAAGTCAGCGGCAGATAGCATTTGAAGTGTAGTTGTGAATTCTCTAATGTAGTTGAGAATTCCATCGCTACGTGTAAGCTACTTATACCACGCATCGACTATCATAAAAATTTAGTGCTGTCTATTGAAAGGTGAATATCGGTTCACAAAAGAAAACTGCATCCTTCTACATTGAAATGTAAGGACAAAAAAGAATTGCACTGTTACTAGAATTGATATGACCATCAGAAATATTCCAGTGCAAAAGACATACAAACAAACAAACAAAAATATGGTTATCTGCTAAAATATTCTCAAAATATATGCTATAGGTTACTATACACTAAGATGAACCAGTGTTAAATGGATAAATCAGGAAATTAAAAAGCAACAGCAAATGAAAAAAAGGTAGAAAATAGTGTGCATGTATTTTGTCAACAACAATCAAATAATATTTATTCACAGCATCATTGGCTGGAAACCTCAAAGTGTTTTGTATCCAGTGAAAAAGGTGCTGCATATATTGCAACCATCATCAGAAACGTATGGCCATATTATTCCAATGTACCCTCTTTACTTTTTATTATTGAGTTGTAGAGAATGATTTGAAAAGAAATGTGAGATATATAATTTCCTGTCAAACAATTGATGATGTTACCTACTACATGTACTAGGTATTACCTGCATTGATTGAAAACATGATATCAACATTTCTTGCCCAACGATATCATAACCTCCCCTTTTTATTTTTCTTTTGTTACAGGTGCATCAAAGGAACTTGGAGCCTCCCTGACCAGACTCTGCCTTCGACACAAATCAATAGAACTCAAGCTCAAGTCCTTCACAAGGTATACCAATCACGATCTTAATCAAATCTTCAAGGCTGCATTCACATTGGCCACTTAAATTGGACCGGTTTATCAACTTAAAGGGCGAGTCCACATATTGTGGCTTTTACATTATAAAGCAATAGAAAATAATAATTAATATTAATTAAAAATTATCCCTACTAATGAAATTTCAAGTTACAGTGTAAATAAAAATTCAAGGTCAAGTCATTTACAAGTTTATATACCAATCACGATCTTAATTAAATCTTCAAGGCTGCATTCACATTGGCCACTTAAATCCCGGGCAGTTTTATCAACTTAAAGAGAGTGCACATATTGCGGCTTTTACACAAAGCAATAAAACGTAATAATTAATATTACTTAAAAAATTATCCCTACCAATGAAATTTTAAGTTATACAGTACGTAAAAATGATACAGTTCAAGGTCAAGTCCTTTACAAGGTAAACTAATCAAAATCTTAATCAAATCTGCATGGCTGTGTTCACCTTGACCACTTTAACCCCACTGGTTTTATCAACTTAAAGGGAGAGTCCACATAATGCATTGAACCTTTTTACACAAATCAATGGAACATATTGGCCAATAAATTTCCTTATCCTTATTCCTTATCCTGAACCTGAAGCTCAAGCTCATTTTATTTACAAGGTATACTATGATCTTATATCTGCCAGGCTGTTTTTAGCTCGGCCAATTTAAACCCTCCCACTCTTGTCAATGTAAAGTGACAGTCCCCTTATTGAAATGAAGCGTTTTTACAAATCAATAAAATTCATCGACTGATAAATTTCCCTACCCAGGAATCTTAAAGGGACATGTAACAAAAAATCAAGGACAAACTGAAATTATTTCAACAAGGTATACCAAAATATTAATTCAATCTGCCAAGCTTTGTTCGGATCAACCACTTTAAAAACCTTCCCAATCTTGTCGACTTGAAGGAACTGTCCACCTATCGTATTGGGACTTTAAAAAAAAAAAATTTTTTAATTTTTTTTTTTACTAAAATCAATATAAGTCAAGCTTGCATTATGCATGCTTGAGCTAGACAAGTGTGAAAATGGCTACCTTTTGATCTAATAAGGCTAAATTGGGCACTATGGTCAGTTTACCTTTTAAGGAGACTGTGTTCACATTTTCACAAGTAACCCTAGATACAAACCTGAAGACTTGAAAGTGATGGATGTAGCGATTCCCAGGTACAGGCCCCGGGATAGACTTTTAATGGAAGCCATGCAATATGCCACATCTTTTGATATTATAATCAAACTAGGCACCATTCATGTAATTTGCAGTGCATGCTTTGACAATCAGCGAAAGCGGGGGATGCCAAACAAGATAAAGTTATGTGCTAATTGAATTTACTTTGTGTAAGTTACGGACCTGGGACACTAGCTTTCCTTGAAAGGTTACATCCATGCATTCTTGTGTAGGTCCATGGTTTGACAGACCCCAAACATGAACTCAAAGATCGTGTTTTTTGTGTGAGAGTGATCTTCTCCTGTCCTTCAAAGGGGACATCAACACGTTCCTCTCGTTGATTACAAATGGCTGTGTTTACATTATCCCTTTGCTGTAAAGTCTGTTCAGAATGCATGGTGGTATTAATTATAGCATGTAATGTAAGATTCATTTATCAAGTAGAGGAAATTGGTTCCATAATTTTGTCTTCTGAGAGCTCTGAGGGCATTAAACTTTAAGCTTTACATAAGGTTAATGCCATTCTAGCTCTTAACAGATACCGGTAGATAAAATGTGTCCTTGCATCATACCTGCTAATATATGTGGGGTTTATTGGAATATACTTTGTATTGTGACAGAATGATTGGCTGAAGATCAGAGATGTAAATTAAAAGGTGGGCCTACTTATAACTAATTGAGCTCACAATAAAAGAAGTAAAAATGTAAGGATTTCTATAATAGATTATTGCATTTAGTATGGTTATTGTTTTATGATCATCCCCGTGAATCACAGAAAATGATAAATCAATTAAGACACTTTTCGGGTATTTTGACTCAATTCCATCTCAAAAAAAGATAATGATTCAAAAACAAAATCCCCATCAGAGCATCTCACCTGCCCCAGCCATCATAAATCAGAATGTGAACACCCCCCTTGGTCCTACCTGGTATCAATATTTGACAGCTATTAGATTGTGTTTCCTCCAGCGGGCGGATGAACCGCAGCCGCCGCCGTGTCGGAGACGGCTCTCCGGCAATTAGTTGCCATGCAACAGTTAATTAATCAAGGGATGCCATCCCTCGACCTAGAAGGTCATGGAGAGTTAAGCATCCAGTGTCTGTCATCAAAGCCAATTCACTATCTCCCCGTTCAAAGTGCCACCAACCCATCTCGGGGTCAATATCATCTGGTTGTGGAGCCAGAAGGGTGTTTACTCAGTGTTAAAGCATATGAGTTAACGCCCTTTCGGCTCCAAACAGATGATAATTGTCCTTGTGGAGCTGGAGGGGCATTGACTCTTTGTTAAGATATTTTGGGTTAACACCTTCTTGCCTCCAAACAGATGATATCGTCTTTGTTGGAGCTGGAAGTGCATTTACTGAGTGTTAAGGTATATATGAGTTAATGCCCTACTGGCTCTCTATGCAGAAGATGGGTTCTATTTTGAGACAGTTTCACCTGTTTGTTTTTGTGGTCAAATGATTTGTGGATGACCCCTTGAAATGGACAAGCATAGAGCGGGGATTTTCAGATAACAAGATACGGACCGAGGCCAGTTGCTTATCATTTAAAGTGCAACAGAGGCACAGTTCAAAATTGTCAGTAAAAGAAAAAGGTAAAGAAAAAGTAAATAAATAAATATTACAGAACATTACAACAAGTTAGCCTGCTGCTCAAAACAATGAATGGTACTCACTCATGTTGGATACAGATCATAGTTTTTCAATTAATGAGTTATTCTTATGTGTTCTTTGTATTTCTTTCTTTTCTTTCCTTATCTGTTTAGTTCAATAACGGAATATTTGGTGGTCCCTCTACAAGAGAAGACAGAGGAATGGAAGAAAAACACAGTTCAACTCGACAAGGATCATGCCAAAGGTTTGTAATAATAATAATAATATTCAGTCTTTGTATATTCATTATGAAATAATGTCTCTATGCGCTTCCAAAGAGCTTTGGAAATTATTACCCTAGCTTTAGCTCCGGCAGCCGTTATCAGCGTACTGTGCATTTCAAGGAATAATCCTACCAGGTACCCATTTATCACACCTGGGTTGAGTGTTGTGGCAAATGTAGATAAATGCCTTGCCAAAGGACATTAGTGCAGCGGCAAGACTTGAACCACGGACCTTGTGATCCACAGTCCAGTGAAATATCCACTTGACCACGACACCTCGTAGCCAGCATAGATAAAGCATCAGCTATTCAAATGAACAATAACTTTCCATTAGGAGACTAGAAAAGAATATTTCATTCTTTCTTCCAAATAAAAGTAAGAGTTCCCCCAAAAAATGTTTTAAGCACACTACAGCACCATAAATGAAATTAACCGGATTTTAACTTTATTATTGGAAAATACCCTAAAATGCCTTCAGAATAAGCACATAACATGAACAGTTGCACTAGAAAACATCGCCAGTGACAAGATCCGCAAGAGGAATCATGTATACCTTGTCAATTTTGGTAATCAACAGTGTATATTTATGCAGGGATTGCATCAATTTTGCAGGGCTTTGTGTCATTTCTAACTCGAATTGAAATTGCCAATTATGGAGTGATACCACGTGTCATACTCACTCCTCCCCAACATTCTACTCCTCACCGACTTGTCTCTTGTCTCTTGGGAGAGAGGGATGCTGCTCAATGGAGAATGATACCGATTGCCCCCATTTAGACGATTCAAATTCATTGTGTACCTATATCGGAAAACCCTTTACTGCTAGCTATAGTAAAAAAATACTTTTTTCCTCATCTGAACATCCTATGATAAAGTTGCAAATGCAAAATGAGTATTAATTTTTGAACATTTTTTGTATGGAAAGTGGATAATGGATCGGATCTACTTTTTGTGTAAATGTCATATTGTACAGAAACTGTATAACGTAATCGGGTAGGGCTAATATCAAGAATGCATGCTGACAATACATGTAGGTCCAGTCAGCTTAAATCTTGTTTCCTAGAGCAATAATTGTGGCATAAGCTGAAACTACCGGTAGACATAATTATGGTGTCAGCTACCTTTTCAAAACTAGCTTCTCAGTCCTTTACACAATACCTTTTTATTTTAGGTTGTATACCCATTCATTCTAGATTTATTCTTCATAAGATGCTTATTTACGCAAGTTTCGTATAAATTTCCTCTGGTGGGAATGGGGCATAGATTAAGGGGAATCCTTGGAGGTGGACGGGATCTGTTTTGATTAGGGCATCCCATATGCTGCGCGGTGTGTTCGATGGCTGAGTGGGAGGGGAAGGTGTTTATAGACGGGCTGCGGGAGCACATGGGTGGAATATAAGATGGCAGGCGTAAAAATGCAGACTGATAGCTCAAGTGTACGTTTTGATGGCGGCGTATGTCAGGTCTCATTCTGCTCAGTGCAAAAGGCTCACCTGATGTTCTCCTTCACTCCATGCTGTGGACTGCAACATCCGTGATCATTGATTTGAAATGGAATACATTTCTTTTGAGAATATATTTGTTATTCTTAGATACAGGCCTTCAGATGATTTTGTACCATCTAAATAGTCTGCTGAGAATAAGAAGGGTGTTTATATTATATCAATTTATTAAATTAATTAATTAATTAATTAATCAATTAAAGCCCTTCAGACTCTTAGCAGATGATTTGATAATGGAAGGCTATACCGCTGCAAGATTTTGCACGTAAAAAACTAGTAATACTCATTTGTTAAAAACTTCTGTTCCAATCGTGACAAAACAGTTATGAAAAACCCTGTAAGATTCTTGTTCATTTTCACACAGTTGGCGTTAAACAAATATAAATATTAACTTAAACTTCTGTATGTAAATAAAATATTTTGGAAAGGTTGGGCCATTGATGAAGACATTTATGTCCAACTGTGTTTATTAGGTGTTGAGGACTCAAGTATAGTAGTGCAAGTGTCTTAAATACATAGGAATCCAGTGTGGTTCTTTTTAATATTTTGGATCAAAACAACCTAAAAAGGGGAAGGTTCTTTATTACAGTATTTGTCGAAAGTCGTCATAAGAGGATGGATGGCAAATTGTAATACTGTATAGAAATAGGTGCATTCTCTGTAGGTCCGATGTGTGGTGATGTGTTAACCTGAAAAATACAGAGAGAGAAAAATTACTCTTTTTTTTTTCTTTATCAATTTGCGATGTTGAGTAAACGCCAAAAAAGAAGAAGAAAAAAAGAGGCATCTAGTAAGCACCTAAAATTCAATGAATTTGTGTCAGATCATTTCTCAACTACTCTACATTGCTCACCAAAGATTTAGGATAGAAACAGACAGGCACAGCTCTCTGAGGATGAGAGCATTCATGTATTACCATCCATACTTTTTCGGAGATATTGTTTTTCATCAGAGTCCCACAACCTCCCCCCCCCCCCCCCCCCCCTCTCAAGTGAAATATTAACTTCATTTTAATTCACCAACAGTATCCGCCCAGTGAAGTACCGTAAAGAGCATCTATTATAACCCACACCCCTACTTATATCTAACACTTGACATGTTAATTTGATGGGTAGTGCAATATGATTCCAGTTTGTTAGTCTCCTCTACTTCAAGGCATCTTCAAGGCAATTTGTGAACCCAGTTTTGTGGAGTATTTATTATTGGCCTTTAATATACATTTATTATAGAGATTGATGTAGTGATAAACATGCAGCTGTTCCAGATTTAATAGGCAGCCCCAATTTTTTCACTGGGGCATTCCCTAATTTTTCAGCAACATAAAGTTTTTCTTACAGAAGGAAAGTACAGGATTTATCAAGGGTCGGGGCGTGGGGAGGGCTATGGGGGCTGTAGCGACACTCATGTCTCTCCTGTAGGGTTCTGCTGATTTGTTAAAACACAAAATACATGTATGTCCCAAAGAGAAATAATAGCAGGCTAAAGAAAGACGTACAGTACCTGAATTGCAACCTGGACTGATGGAGGGCTAGGGGGCTATTTCAATGGTGGGTGGGTTGCAAAATCACCTGGAGCCCCCCCCCCCCCTGTAAGGGTTGACTATTAAAGCTTTTAATATCTTCTAAAGATTCACCAATGTCCTCTTAGGGGCCCGGCCTCTCCTGAGTCACCCTTAATGGGTCTGGACGTATACCACTAGAGCCAATAGATGAGAGAAACTCTATCTCTTCTCTAACCGACATCTGTCTAAACGTATGCCTGCAATGCCAACTTGAATTACACAGGGAAAGAGGGTTGGTAAGACGGACTGATGGAGCAGGTTTAAGCAAGGTATTGCACATTGCTCTGGCTCTTTTCTTACTCATCCTTCTGGTATGAGGGACTCTCGTTCCCGAGCTTTCTCTCATGAGACCATCTTTTTCTGGCCAATGTAGAGATCATCTTGAATAATAAACTTTTGTTTGATGTCATATATATATAGTAATTAGATTGTAGTGACTGACTTTTCATACTTGGTAGGTAATAAAATGTTTAAAAAAATACTATCCACTACATGTAGATGTCAAGTAATTGACAAGATGTATTTTGTTCAGACTGATATTAAATGACAGTACTTTCATGAATTTAAAGTAAGCGCTTTGTTGAAGTGTGTAATGGTTACAATGTGCACCATCTTCAATCCATTTGAATTTTCCTCACAGAATATTCAGCATATGGGCATTTGGTAATATCACTTACTGTGGCAATTAACATTACCGTACACAATGTTCCTATTTGTCTCCCGGGTTTGGAATGGCAAATGTACATCATTAGAAGAAGAATTTTCTGGATCAAAGAGTTGGATGAAATATCCATTAGACTATCAGCCTTTTCACACACAGCTAAAATTCTATCAACATGATTAGTATAAACGTGTTTGAAACGTGTTTAAACTAATCACGAGCCTTTCACACACAGAAATTTCGTTGTGATCGTTAATAGCTTCGTGATTAACTACTGCTCGTAAAATGCGCAGTAGTGCCATTGCGCATTGAAGGTCATGTCATGTCAATCAAAGCGCACGCTCCATCCAGTTTAAACACGTTTAAACACGAATTTCCTTTCACACACAAAATGTCAAGCTCTCTAGATACGAACTTCGTATCTGCAGCCTGCTTTTAGGGGCGTATGGATCGCGACTTCGTATCTATCCCAACATCGTATAAACGATGTTCACACTGGGAAATTTTGTCTATAAACATGTTTAAAACTGTTGAGTGATTCTAATCATCTCTAGATACGATGAATTTTAGCTGTGTGTGAAAAGGCTGTATGACACCTCTGCCTTAGGGACCATCAGCTGGGGTTAAACAGCCCTCCCCCCAATGCTCCTAGTTCCTTTATCTTGACAGTATCACACAAGAGCGGAAACATCCCAAATGATAGGCGTGCCTCATCTAAAGTGGAGATGTGACATATGTATCTCTATCCTCAGCTGTCAAGGGTCTCAATTTTATGATCATGTGACCCCTCGTCTGTGACGGACCTTCAACCATGGACCTGGCTGTGGGGCGACAAACGCAGCCCGCGCCAGCTGGCGTCTGGTATCGGTCCTATTTTGAGTCCTATGAACCTGCCCGCCCCCCTCCAAAAAAAAACGTGCATTAGAGATTGAGAAGCGTGTAATGATTTTCGCATATGATGCACGGTGCGTCATCAACCAAGCAGAAGGGCCAGCTAGAGCTGTCATTACGGAGAGGGAGAGATTTATGTCCTGCGAATGTGGACAGACGACCGAATTAAACATACATACAAACGTACATACAGTAGGCTACATCTTAGAGTGGACTGCTATGCAGAACAAGATGATACCCAAAGTAGACTAATTAAGGCCCCCCAGATGCATCGGTCATCATTATCCAGATGCGTCATGAATAATACAAGCATTTATTAATAGCATGTCGCAATCATCATGATGACGACTTAGTAAATTCTTTCGAAGCTTGTATACACTATGTGATATCTGCTGACATATATGATAATAAACCTGAAATTTACTGTGAAACAAAACCCGAGATTCTCATTGCTTTGCATGTCAGATGTGTTTTGAAGAAAAAGAATATGATGTGTTAAATCACTCTTTAAGACTTCAATGTTTAGAACCCCCCCCCCCCCCCCCAATGCTCGCTAAATCCCATGTTGTGCAAATGAAAAGACATTCATATTGGGTTAAAATTGTTTTGTTTCAAGTCCAATTCCAGGTTTATTAAGAGATTTTTGTTTAAAAAGTATTTTGGACACAAAATGAAAAAAATAGCACTTAAATTGACTGAGCCAACAACCCAACAATGTTGCTATGAGAAATGAAACACATTTTGATATGTTATCGGTGATTCCATGTCACTTGAATTTCCTCTACCACCTGTCCAAACCCACAGTATCTGTCATATCTGACATAACTTTATAGGTCTGCCTTCATCAGCTCAAGATTGCCAAATATCCTGCTATTTGAACTTTGAACTACTCTGCTGAGTAAAATATCTCCAGCTAATTTCTCGAGCTCGAGTTTCAAGTTTCAAGGTCAAGTCTTGAGCTGATGAAGACACAATTTGTAACTTCGGGATTATTTCCCAAATCAGAATAGCGGGCTATTTTGCAATCTCAAGCTGATGGAAACAGGTCTTCTGATATCTGACATAACTTTATAACTTTCTCTTTTTTTCTTATCTTCTCCAGAGTACAAGAAGGCCAGACAGGATATTAAGAAGAAGTCCTCAGATACCATCAGACTTCAGAAGAAAGCAAGAAAAGGTAGGTCATCCAAAGAAGATATGCATGGGTATTTGCCCTTAAGAAGTCAAGGGAGATGGACTGCTAGTATCAAAACTATGGTAGGAAAGCTCGCGATAAGATTTGGTTAGGTGTATTCACCACATTGTTGAAGAAGAGTTGGTACTTATTACACATCGGCTACCTAAAATCCAAAGTTATGGGCTTGTATTCAAAATGCCTTACTGTACTGAAATGCCTTATTATATACATAAAGCCTAGTTGTCAACTAACTATACACTGCAAGTGTGATTAGTTGACAACTCAGCTTAATAAGGTTTTATGAATATATTGGCCCAGGAAAATGCAAGAAAAAGAAGGTGATAGTGGTCCCAAAAATATGGAGGAAATATTTGTAACAAGATTTAGGTAATCACAAAATTGTTGAATGAATGAACATTTGGTGAGCATCCAATTGATTGACTGTTGAATGCCAGAAGGGCATCAATCCTGTGTAAATGCCCTTCTGGATCTCAACAGATGACATATTCTAACAGAAAGAAAAGATAAGGTATGTGTACAAGCAAGAATATATTAGAGTTACCGTATTTGCCGGTGATAAGGCCGCAGCGCTGTATCGGCCGCACCCCAGATTTTGACATTTATATCATTTAGCTGCCTATTATTGCCCCCCCCCCACCCAATACACGAGGACTTGCTCAGAGTCAGTTGCAACTAGATTCTGGAAGCATCATTTGTAAAGGATACAAGGTGTTGTACGTAAGTTTATATGGAAGGGTGCGTAGCAGTACATTTTGAGATATAAAAGGTCTAGTGGACTTGTAATTAAATTTTACGATTGAAAATTGATACCATGAATAGAGTTCAGCAGAATTTTGAGGGTCTTAACAGAAGAACTCAAGGTTGAAGAACAATGGTCAAATGGCAATGGCAAGGAGACTATTAAAACTGTTAAAATGGTTCAAGAAACAATGTTGAATCTTTGCCTTTAAAAAGAAGCTTTTAAGTATGAGCTCTATGTATAAGACAACCATTTATTGATTAAGATATGGACAGACAAAACCTGAATGTACTGATTCCTGGGGAAAATACTTCCTAGAAAAGTATAATAATTAGTGGAGATCAATAGAATATGAAGACGTAATGTATAAAAATAAGTTTAAATTGGAAAAAGACCCTTGAAAAAGAGAAAGAAGAGAGATTAATATCTTTCATTACCCTACAGTTCTCAGGTGTGCATAATGACATAGTGTTTGGGATTGTAGAGACAGATATTAGTCATAACACGTAAAATCCCTGGATAATTAGCGATGATATCGGATCAGAATAGATAAGAACCCCCCAAGTATTTGTTCCACATGGTTAGTGGGTCGGAAACTGAAAACACAGTATCGTAAACATTTTGGCAAAATAAGCAGACACAGCAGTTTGTTTCTGCTTCATTGTGTTTTGATTTTTTGGGATGAAGAGTCTGAACTCCTTTTCATTCTCAACGGTCATGCTAATGCTCTTGATTCAGTCCATTCAATCTAGATTTCGCTAGAGGGCAGAAGTTGAAATGTTTTTGTTGTTTGTCCTGTTCCTGTTGTCATCCTTTCTCACATGTATACGCTGCAGTCTGAAGATGAAACTGCATTACCCTATGAACTTTTGCACTCCGTGGTCCTATTGTTTGACAGAGTGGGGTACCTGTCTAGCAGAAGATCAGCTGTTTAGGTTCAATCTTTACCTTGCGGAAGACTGAACGTACTCTTTAGTGGGTCATTGAGAAGAATTCGTCTCAAGTTATTGACCATTCATTAGACATTTGTGCTGTTTTCTGCCCCACCCTTCTTTTTGGGCAGGGTTTAAGGCCCCACCCTTCTTTTTGGGCAGGGTTTAAGGCGAGAAATTGTCTTGACCACTCATAAGAGAGGGCACTAGAAAACACGGGAACAAGAATTGGTCTTTAGTTAATGGCAACTTTTAAATAAGGAGAGGGAGAGCATAGGAAGAAATAGGACTAAATGATCTTGTGTTATTGACCAGGCATTAGTCGGTCATTGGGAAGAGATAGGACAGATGGATGGTCTTGAGTGATTGACCACTCATTAGCAAAAGGAGGGCACAACAAAACACAGGAACAAGAATTGGTTGTTAGTTCATGGCAACTATTAAAGAAAGAGAGGGAGAGCATAGGAAGGCATAGGACTAACTGATCTTGTGTCATTGACCATGCATTAGTGAAGATTAGATGGTTATCAGGAAAAAAATTAGGACAGACTGATGGTCTTGAATGAGTGACCAATCGTTCAGAGATGGAGGGCACAGGAAGAAGCAGTAAGAAACCGGATTATTATTATTAATGCAGGACTGGGAAATAGTCCAAAATCATTGACCTGTCGAGGAGGGGGACATCTTTGTAGTCAGACTTTCACATTTTTGTTCCAGAGATGTACATGTAGGTCAACAGCCAAATACTGTCACATGGACAATTTTATTAAAAAGATTAGATCAGTTTCATCTTATAAATGGATTAAAAAAAACCCAGATACAAGAGAATCCGCACTGCAGATACTCTTGTGGAGAGAATTTCATTCAGGCCTAGCTGTTACAACTTTCTATATGATCTACATGTATGCAGATCAGGGCTGAAATACTGAGGAATGTGCTTTCATCTTTCCAGTTGTTTTAAAATCTCTTCATTGCCCTCGTTTAGTACATTGTCAGAAATTCAACTTGATAAAAAAAGATAGATAAAAAGTAAATCAGGTCATTGTTGTCTGTGTTGCAGTATTTTCAAATCAAACGACACAGGACCATTTGAATGTTTTGACAACAATATCCTAATGATCTTAATGATAATTTATCATCCATTTTGAGCACCAGGTATTTTAATCGCCAAAACAAATTCAAATTGTGACGAGCCATTGTTAATGAGAGCACATTTTGGACTGAGTTTATTTTAACCTAACAACTGTGAAAACAAAAATAGAAGTCGTTTATTCCACACAATTCAGATGTGTCATGGCACTGAAAACATAAAAGATGAAATTTAAGATTATAATAAATAGATAAAAAATATAGCCAGCGGAACTGCACCTCCTGCCCTTTTCAGACTATTTAGCATTTTAATGATTTTAACATATGTTTGGCATATGACATTGAACAACAAAATCCTGGATTCTGGGCTTATACTATGTTTACAATTGACAAAGCCATAGATGCTCAGCATATGACCGTCAGTATAGACTACTAGGTGTGGCGGCCGGGGCTGGTTGGGTCATATGTCTGGTATTTAGACAGATCACGTGGTATTCTCATTGAAGCATTTGACCCATCATGAGGATGCTTTGTTGTTAAGAGGAGGGTATCAGCATCAGCTGTCCGATGGCCATTAGCCTGGCTGCCTGGCTGGAATGACGGGATGAAGCTTTCCTCACCTTCCTCTGCTGATGATCAGGGGGCTCTTTCACACTAGAAAATTTTGTTTTAGGTTATACACGCACATGAAATCAATATCTTAGAGGCATTGAGGGATGTTCATATGGCTCATCATTGGCCATTTCAATTTTGTTTTAGTTATCCATGTACTTGAAATCATTGACTTTACTGTGATTCTTTGGTAGGTTATTTCACACTAAAAGTTTTGTTTGAATTATACATGGAATCACTATCTTGAGGTATGTTCTTGTGGCTGATTAGTGGGCTATTTCACACTAATTTTTTTGTTTGAGGTATACATGTACATGAGATCAATAACTTTACAGATGTTCTTATGGCTGATCAGTGGGCCATTTTACACTAGGAATTTTTTTTTGGGTTATACATGTACATGAAATCAATAATTTTGCTGATGTTCTTATGGCTGATCAGTATGCTCTTTCACACTAGAACATTTGTTTTGTTCTGACATTGCTTTTACATCTGCCAGCATTCTGGAATGTGTACTGCACTATAAAAAAGCAAAAGTAAAGGGGCTGTTAAATATCATTTTGAAATATTGAAAATTGCCAAATCCTCCTTGTTGCTATTCTGGCTAGTACAACTCTAAAAACAAAAGTAGAGAAACATTGCACATCTTTTATGAAAAGGAATCACAGATTCTTCCAAATGTCAAAAGTGTTTGTGTTGACCATCACACACAATCCATTCTGATTGACCATTGCATAATATCTATGCATATTCATGGCTTGTCCTCCCTCTCTCATGACATAATTTTATATCAAGTCTAACCTTTGAGGAAACTAGGTTGCATGAAAGTTTGATATAATAAGAACCCTGGAATTTGAAATTTACCTCGACAATCCCTCTCTCATTTTCTTGTTATTCTTTCTCTTGACAAAATATTCATATTTGCATCAAATAAAAGGTCACAAGTCGTGGAAGGATTTACAGCTTATCATTTTTGCATTTGCCGCCCCCGGAAATCAGGGAGGTGTTGTAGTGTGAAGTCTGGAGAAGTCGAGCAGGGACCTACGTTTATATGCTTGCCTCATTTTATTTGAATTATGGGTTATGAATTTAAAAAAAAAATAATCCTACATGTATGTAGGTGGTGCCCTGCTTATGGCTTATGCTCAGCTGTGAAATAAATAAAAATCCTTGGGTCTGCTAGATGTACATGCTTGTGTCTGACTTGACAGATGTAGGACGTGATCTTTAGAGACCAGAAGAAGATCTCTAATGTTTGAGAATGTAGGCCTGGCCTGTAGCTGTCATCCAGATTGTCAAATGATTTGCTCTCTTAATTCACAGGGGAGGAATCAAGATGGTTGGGTGCGAACTTCAAAACCTTTTTTTCTTCTTTATTCCAATTTCATGCAAGTCCAGGGTTGTCTTCATGGCTGACTTTGATGTACAATTTTAGTTAGCCATTTTTTAAAAATATTATACAATTTTTTTTTTTTTTTTACTGATAACAAATGAATTCTTGTGAAGAAATGGACCTTTGATGAAGCCATATGCCTCTCAATACAGTGCTAGATGCAATGAAGCAGTGTGTTACAGCATTGACTCATATCTTACGGTTATCACATTTT